ATGCTGAACGCTGAACCGTAGTGCGTGAAATATTGATGGGGTGCATATATTAGAAAAAGGAGACCTTTAGAAATTGAAATAACGTTTAAACAAAAGATTGTCTGCACCTGGGAAAAATCTGCCATGCATACTGTACGTAGATCGCATGTTACGCACTAGTGGGCTTAGCAAAGTGCTCCAGGATTCAAATTATAACAATGGTTGATTTCTAAAGTTCTCCTTTTTCTAATATATGCACTCATCAATACTTCACGCACCACGGTTTAGCATATGTGCAATTGAAAAGGCATTCAAATTTTAACAATATGCTTGATTTCTAAAGGTCTCCTTTTTTTTATACACCCTGTATACCCGTACGTCCTTGCAAACAAAATATAAATAATTTTTTCTGTGGTGTTATGTACTCAGGTAAATATGTTTGTGATGTTACCATGAGTGTATATCCACACCGGGCAATCTTGAAAAATATGCCTGGCTACAGTGGGAATCGAACCTACGACCTTTGGAATACTAGCCCAATGCTGTGCCAACTGGGCTACGCAGTCAGGTCGGTTCGAGTAAAATCACATGATTACTAGACTGCATTGATATCGAAGGAACTAGACTGAGTTCCGAAATATCACATACTCGACCACGTAGCTCATTTGGAAGCTAGTATTCCAAAGGTCGTAGGTTCGATGCCACCGTGGCCAGGCATATTTTTCAAGCTTGCCCGGTATGGATATACAGACTCAGAGTAACATCACAAAACAAAATACAACTATATATCACTATATAACTGTATATAACAGTTATATAAAAATAAACCAATTCACAAACCTGTTTCTTGTGAATTATCTTCGGGCAACCATTTCAGCAATATTTCAATACGTTTCGTAGCTCTGTTGACTTCAGCTGATTCATCATAAATCCTTGCTGCTGCATCTTGTAGACAGTTTTTCAACAACAATGTTGGTTTAATATTTTGCTGGTGAATCTTTTCTTCATCAGAATCCTAAAAAGTAAGAAAAATCGGGTATAGATCGGTAATATATGAAGGGTACACAAAGACAAGGTGAACAGCTTAAGTCGATATGGTGAGCATAAAGGAAGAAATTGTTGGTCATCTTTTTCAGTCATTTATAGTCCACGCTCGAGATACATAATATACGCGAGCCTTAGATGGATAAGTTTAAACTTGTGTGACAGTTATGTTTTTGTACCCTCCTGAGAACTCATTTTAACCTTCGCTATGCTCGAGTTTGGATTGAGGCCAAAAACATATTTATGCCCGCGGACATGAACTCTATTGTTTCATTAAACTGTTTGGTCCCTTGTATTGTAGTATATACCATATTTTTCTTTTACCTCTGTGTTCTCCACATCCAGTTCTTGGCTACCACTTGGTACACTATCATCAAGATCAACATCCATATCTTCAATTTCATCACCTCTTGCAAGGTAGGCTGGCTGAAATAGATCACTTACGGAGCGATTTACCAACTGTTCAATCTGGGGAAGTTGTTCGTTCGATTCAAGAAGCTCGTCAATATGAACTGACTGCCATTTTCCACCTTGAAATCCTACAAAATGTTGACATCCCCCAGCAATTTTTGGTAATTGAATGATGAAGATAATGTGGATAGGTTTCTTGAAAACGTCAAAGTCTTCTAGTGTACGACGCCGGGTGTCATCCACAAGATATCGACAACAGGCAATGAGGTTGAAGTTCGCCTCTCCATTATCACATTGAACAAGTAGAAGTCCTTTCGCACCACCAAGTGCAACAAAGAATTCTCTACATAAAAGTGAAGGTACAAATAATTTAGGGTACCTAGCTATGGTTTCCAATGTCTGCCAAAAATCAAGTTTTGCATTGACCATGAAATTCTTTTCTCCAAACTACAACATTATGGGATCAGAGAAACATATCTAGCCTACAACGGTTTACAAATTATTTAAACGGAAGAACTCAAATAGTAAAAGCTAAACAGCATAGGTCATCTGAAATGAATGTTACTACAGGAGTCCCACAGGGTTCAACTCTCAGTCCATTATTATTTCTTTTATACATTATAGTGAGGCGGATATGTGTAAAATAATTAATCAGTACTTTCCGTTGAGGTTAAAAGCATCAAACTTTTACAATTGATGTAGTTTTATTTGCTTAATAGATATTTGAAGTAGGGCGATCGCTATTTTGTTGCTAACTCCTGAAAACGGGTGATTAGTGATTTTCTTCTATTGAGTTCTATTATAGCCAAAAAATGTGAACTTTTGTGTCAATTACAACAAATATGACTATATAGCATCATCAGAGAGCTTGTAAACAACTGCATGCATATAAGACGTTTAGACAGTTTTTTTATTTCTGAAATAGTTTTCCAATTATAAACTGTAAAAACGCATTTTCAAACATCGAATGATTAATTAGGGACTTTTAGCGAGATAATGTGCCTAATTTACATCAATAACATGCATGCATTTAAAGAATAAAAAAACTGTTTAAAAGTCTTTGATGTAGTTTTTTACAAGCTTTTTGTTGATGCAATTTATATTTGTCGCAATTGAATTCAAAATTTCACAATTCTTGTTGTAGTAGAATTTAATAACAATTAAAAAACTCATTAATAATTCAGGAGGAAAACACAAAGAAAAATCATAAGCGTGTCGTAACTTTATATGTGATAAAAAATCATGTTAATTTACATAAACTTTAGCTTTGACTTTCTCGGTTTAGACAAAGTTTATTTTAAAAAATACTTCGCTAATGTACTCATCAGAGGATGGGTCGTTTTTTAAGCCATTTAAAGCACTTGTAGTCGTGTTTTATCAGATATAAAACGCTCGGCTGCGCCTCGCGTTTTATATCTGATAAAACACTCCTACGCGTGCTTTAAATAGTACATAATGCTAATACCATCGTAACTCTCTAGAAAAACAGTTTCATGATGGCCCCACTTTTGCATGTTGTTCTACGCATAAAAAGATGCTACTGTGCACAATTTGGTGCTTTACCCTCTTCTGAAACATCCATGCACATATCTGCCGAACTATTAATGACATTGAGAACTGTAGTGATATTATTTCTTTCGTTTTATAAATGCTGATGATACAAATGCCTTCTATTCAAATTCGTGCTTGAAAACATTATCTAGTACTATACAAAATGAACTTGATAACGTCGTTCAATGGCACAATGCAAATAAATTATCAATGAATGCATCCAAAACAAAAATTGTCATTTTTAAGTGCAAAAACAAACCACCGGATTCACAGATAACAATAAAAATAAATGTCATCTTTGCAGTCTTTTTATGTATCACTGCATGAATTATGATCAAAATTTGCCAAACCTTTACAATTATTACTTTATTCAAAATAAAGAATTGCATAAATATAATACGCGAAACTCTTTAAAATTCAGTGCCCCTAGTATTTGGATAGGCAATTTAGCAACACCCTGCCTTGCCTGCCACCTTTCAGACAGGCACCCATGCAACCTCACCTGATGACGTTGGCCTGTGTTAAGTGTTAAACCCAATAGTTAATATGATATAATATTAAGTCAGCAAAAACATTTCAAAGTTCAAACACTGTGCCATAATTCCATTTAATTAAGTTATTTTCAGCATCAATAATTCAATTAAATACATATAACCATGGACTGACTGTTTGTATGAATGCAATGCAATGTACAATGTTAAATCAAAGGAATGATATAGCTAGAGTAACAGAGAGTTTATACACACCGCATATATATTTACTCTGTAACTTTTAGCACAGAAAAATGAATTAGTATTCAATTGATTTCAATGTAAAAAGTATCAAATTTTTAACTGAATCTATACGATTTTATTTATAATTGCAACTAATCACGCCCGCGCGAATTCAGTGTTGCGGTTTGAGCATGAGCATGTGCACAACTAACCGGATATCCAAAATTGGATATCCAGTATTCCGTTTCTTCACAGCTATGCACAGCACCTAACCTGCGAACGGGCATACTCCTGGTACGAAATTGTGTTATTAACAGTGTACAATATAAGCATATGTTGGACTTGTGTTTGGTTGAATCATATAATATAATCACAGGCATAATCTATAGTCAACAAGACGCCGACTCGGCGTTAACCTCGGGTCGGTGGATAGGGGATCGTCTGGTAAATATCCAAAAATTGTGTAAATCACGA